CTCTCTCTCTCTCTCTCTCATCAAGTTTATTTTGGCCTTAACTTGAGAGAAATATCGTGTTGGAAAACTTTCAACTCAAAACTGAGTTTAATTTAGACAAATCTTAAGACCCACCCCCCGAAAAAAAAAAACCCTAAAGGAACAGCAACAATCGACGACTGAGCGCAAAAAGTGACTATATCCACTTTTCGCAGTTTCGAGAAAAACTAATTTGAAATTTTGACGATTTGGAAACTTCTTTAGCATAGTGAAAAAAAATCCAGTTGATATCTTGCTACTGTGAATTAAGCTATTTTACAGAGGTAAAAGAGAGGCTTAAAACCTCACTTCCAATATCGATTACTTCATTTCGACCAAAGGTGGGAGTCACAGTCACAACGTGGTGGAATCAGGCACTTGCCAATTGTTGGGCATGTGGAGTTATTGGTATCACTTAATAGCTTATTCATTCGCCTTAATTTCACTGTAAAAAATACCCAACTATCTAGAATAGAATTGGAGATATTTGCAATTAAAGGAGGTGGGGTCGCCTCGTTTCAGTGCAAAATTGGCGAGAAAATGGCCGCCAAAGTTTGGTAACTTCAATAGCTTGAGAGTCCTTGAAGACTGAAAAATCACATATTTTATACCCTTAAAGAACGTTTTTCAGCCACATTCCAAGGGAAATATTTTATTATATCTACGTAAAAGTTGTTGAGCACACAAATGAAAATTCGATACAAATTGCTAAACTTGCGGCAACATGCCTCTGTCTTCAATTAAACTATTTTGAAGGGCCCCTGATTTCACCATGATGTCTATTATAGTCACCTCTTGCTCTTAGTCATTGCAATTAAAAACCTAAAAAAAACACACAAAAAACCGAGCCGAAACAAAGACAAGAAATCCCAGCAGTGATACAATAAACAAAGACATGCAATGGCGATGGGAGGTACCGTGCAGAGGTAGGCAAAGAGGGCGGGGTTATGGTGGTCCGGGTCCGCCCCCAGGAGGATGATGGACACGTAGCACAGGATACAGCCTATGATGATCAGGTTGTTCATGTTGGGGCTCGACATCTTGATGTACCTGGTGAAATGGTGTAATGGTATGGGTTTAACGACCCTATCAACACGATTAAGTCATTTAAGAGGGGGGGGGGGGGGTCTCCGAGTTTAACGTCCATTTCCAAAAGGACCTAGCCAAAATGGGAAATTCGTGTAAAATGCCTTTCCCAAGGACATAAAGTTGGACCGAGCTGAGACTCGCGATTACGTGTCCGGAAGCCTAACCACTAGGCTACCGACGTCTTGTTGTACCTGTGGGCGTGTGTGCGTGCGGGCGTGGTTGTTTGGAAAAGAGCTTGACAGTTACGAAATACCAACAATTGACTAATCCAAATTCATTAAGAAATAACAAAAATTGGCAAATTTGAATTCAGTATGAAATAAAAATTATTGTCTAATCAAAAGCCATAAGGAAATAACAACTAATGTTTAATTTTAACATTAATAATAAAATAACAACTATTGGCTAGTCGAAATTCACTATGAAATAACAACCAAATAAAAATTCGTTATGAAATAACAACCTAATCAAAAGTCATTATGAAATAACAATCTAATCAAAATTCATAATGAAATAACAACTACTGGCTAATCAAAAGTCATTAAGAAATAACAATCAAATAAAAAAAAACAAAAAAATAACAACTTAATCAAAATTCATTATAAAATAACAACTTTTTGGCTCATCAAAATTCATTATGAAATGAAAATCAAGTCAAAATTCATTATGAAATTATATTATGACGAGCGTTAACCAACTAAAATAATTCACGAGCAGTTAGAGCCTCCGTTTGTACCTGTGATTTCTGAACCGGATGTTGAGCGCCAGGAACAAGACGGCCATTGTGATGCCAAATGCTGCCATGACAACCAGCCCGATGTACACTGGGACAGACACGTGACGTAGCTCGTCGATCTTGATGCTCCGGTCCACTGGCGGTTTGCGATCTGGGGGCGGGAAATGTCTGTTTGTCTATCTGTGTATCTATTAGTCTGTCTGTCTGTCCATCTGTCTGTTTGACTGTCTATCTATCTGTCTGTCTATCTATCTGTCTATTCATTATAATTATGAATATGATTATTACGAGTATGAGTATGATTATGATTTCGATTATTGATATATTTATATTATTAT